CTTGATCTCATTTTTCGTAATTTCAATTTATTCAATTCGATTTTTTTATAAGATATTTATAATTTTTTTATAACTCTAATTTACTAAACTATTTATTTATTTTATCCAAAGTAATTGTCTAATGGAGAGTTAAGATATATTTTTACTAGGATCTGCAATTTAATAACATTCTCAACTAACAAATTTGGAGTTATGTATAAAGTATATTTATTTTTTTAACATAAATTCTAATATTTAAAATTTTTTGCTATTAAATAATACATACAAAAAATTTGATTAATAACTTTAATTTGTAACAAAAGTTCAATATAAATGGATTATAATTCTTTATCATAATTAAGCTCTAAATTATCTAAATTAAAAAATCTGGAAAAATTGACTCTTAAGCTAGAGTAAGGTTTTATTTTTATTTTGGTAGAATTGCTTTGATATATTTTAAGCTAATACTTTATAGCTAGTTTATTTAAATATTTATTAATAAAAAGAAACAATAAAATTAAAGATGAAGGAGCTATCAGATTAAGTCAAGCTATTCTATAGTTTGCAAATCTTAATACACTTATACTTTCATTAGAGTAAATTGAAGATATTAATTATATTTCGTTTACTATTTCTTAATTTAAAACATAAAATTTTTAAAAACCATCAAAATAAAAAGAGAAACAAATTAATTAAGAAATAAAGAATTAAATTTAATTTATTAATCAATATGTTTTCTCAATCTTCTTCTTCTTTCTTAAATTCAAAAATTTATGCTCTTATTAATTAATTTTTATTAATTTTATAATAAAAGCATTAATAAAATTACTAGTATGGGAGCATCGGATCTAATTTAAAGTGTAGTAAAATGTAAAAATATTTATTCACTAACTCTTAGATTGAAGTAATTTTACTCATTAATTATCTTTTAAATTAATTTCTAAATCATAGAAACAATCCATTCATTCATTCATCCATCCATCCATTCAGCTATTTGAATTTTTATTTTAAAAACAAAAAATTAATTTTGTTTCTATAAATTTTAATCTTTGAAAGACTTTCTTTCTTTATAATGCATTTGAATAACATTTAACATAATAGTTAGAATTAAATTAATTATGTTGGAGCATCAAATATAGTTATTCAATTAGAAAAATTGAAAGTGCTTCGTTAACTAACTCTAGGCTTAAAGTAAAATAAATATTTAAAATTCATGAATCTGTTTTATTTATTAAATTAAATTTAAAATTTTTTTCAGAACAAAATAAATATTTATACTTTCTTTGACTGTTTGTTTAATATAATAGATAAAATTAAATTAATAATGCTGGACCATCAAATATAGCTATTCATTTTGGAAAATTGAAAAAGATTTATTCTCTCAATCTAGATTTAAAGTAAAATAAATAAATAAATATTTAAAATTCATCCATCAACTATATCAATTTTATTTTTTAACTAAAAAAATTGAAGTTAATATTTTTAAAATATATAAATTTTTTTATTCATCTAAAGCGACAATTAAATTAGTGATTAAGACCTATAAAATTTAGGCTAATCTTTAACTAAATTATTTGAACTTACTGACTTATCAATTAGTTTAAGGTAAATTTATTTATTTACTTCTTTTATAATTGCTCAAAAATTAATAAATAAATAAATAAATATTTAGCTTCAATCAATCTCTAATTTAATTATTTTAATGTTAATTAATTACTGTTAAATATATTAATTAATTAAAATAAAAAAAATAAAATAAATATTTTTAAAAATCATCAACATTTATTTATTTATTTTATTTGAATTTAAGATAAAAAAAATTAATTTTTAATTTTTAATATGAAAATAATTTATTTTTATATTCATCCAACCAAAGTGACAATCAAATAAGTGATTAAGGTGTCAAAATTTTAGGTTAAGCTTTAAGTAAATGTTTTCAACTGACTTACTTATCAATTAGTTTAAGGTAAATTCATTTACTTCTTTTATAACAACTCAATAGTATATAAATAAATTTTTATCTTAAATAAATCACTAATTCAATTATTTTTAAATTAATTAAAATGAAGATCTGAATTGATTACTTAAGAGGGGATATAAGCTTTAGGATATGAATTAAATAAGTGCAGTAAACTTTATTGGATTGATATTGAATTTAAGTAATTTTTTAGTTGTTTTATTAATATTATAAAAATTAATTAAATCTTTAATCTCAAATTTTTTTCATAAATTTATTTTATTCTAACAAAATTTGCAATTTAATTTTTAATTTTAATAATTTTAGTATATTTATTATATTAATATAAATAACCTTTTTATTTACAGTTCGTAAAAATCAAATGCTAATAATCTTTAAGATATATTTACATCAGAATATATTAAGAAAAATCAATTTTTTTAACTCAGGTAAATTAAGTTTATTAGATATGTAGGTAGGTAGGTAGCTAGATATTTAGCTAGCTACTTTTATTTATTTATTAATTTAATTAAAATTAAACTTAAAATAAATGATCTATCAATTAAATTGCTTTTTTGATAAATTGACTAACTAAAAATTTCTTTTAATTATAATGTATACATAATATATAAAAAATAATAATATTTTACAAAACTTAATAGAAGCTTTAAATAATCATCGATCAGATTTGAATATTATTTGAATATAAAATCATGGTAAATTTTTTAATTTTCATTTTTTAGCTCCTTTATTAGGAATATTTAATGAATATGAAAATATATTTTATTATTTTTAAAAATTAGAATTAATTTTTAATTTATAAATATTTAAAATCTCGAATAATCAATCAATTTTTCTATGGATTTTTAAATGAATGACTGAATAATTTTAAATAAGAAAATTTACTTTTTAATATTTCTAAATTTCTTACTTAATATCAAACTAAAAGTTTTTTGTGCAGTCTGTCTCAAATAATTCAAATTTTTAATTTATTTAATTTAAAAGGTTTAACTAATTATTAATGGGCTAAAAGGATATATTCTTTGGTTTAAACTAGTTAGATAAGTACTCACATTTTGAAATTAGTTTAACGTAAATTTAGCTTACACATTTACTTAAATCTTTAATTTTATTCATAAATTTTTAGCTGTGCTTTGGTTCAGTTAAACTATTTTTTTTTCTACAATTTCTTAAACTAAATTTATGGAAAAAGTAGTGTCTTTATTTTTTAAAATTAAGTTATTTAATTAATATCAAAAAGAGATTTCTTAATGAATGCTCAAAATGCAAAAGACTTTGGTTATGGATTATCAAGATATTAAAAACTCTAATAT